ATCAATTAGAGTGAGATAAACATGGGGTGCAGGAACCAGAACCTTGTACTAAAGAATTAAGGGGCACTGCCCCGCATGCCTCTCCGCAAGCGAAGGCCACCCAAAATAGCCGCGGAGTTATTCCCGGTGAAACAGATGAACGAACACATTCAAATCTTCTATCCGATCACCTCACCTGATCGCCATCTACAATTGTGTGACACATGCACAATGGCATCCCAGCGGATTCACCTCATCGGACTTGGAAGCATCGGGACCCTTATCGCTCACTCGCTTCGCTCTCTCCCCGCACCCCCGCCTATTACCCTTCTGCTCCATCGCGAGTCGGCATACCACGGCTTTCTCTCTGAGGGGAGCAAGCTGCGCCTCCAAATTGGAGAAGACGGACCACCACAAGAGAGTACCGGGTACGACGCCGAACTCCTACAGGGTGAATCGCCCATCCATCACCTAATTGTAGCGGTCAAGGCGAGCGCAACCATCCCCGCTCTCAGATCGATCCAGCACCGGCTCGGACGGCATTCCGTTATCTGTCTCTTCCAAAATGGCCTAGGCCAGATCGAAGAGCTCAACGAGCGCCTATTCACGGACCCGCTGACACGACCGACATACATGTTTGGCATTATGCGCCATGGGGTCTACATAAAAGCGCCGTTTGAAGCCGTGCTGGCGGGGCTGACCGGATCATGCGCTCTGGGGATCGTCAACGATGGCCAGCAGGCATCCTCATCATTATCGTCTCCATCAACAGCATCTGCCCAATCTCGATTTCTCATCGACCGGCTGGTCGAAGCACCGATCGTCCGATGTTCCGAACTGCCGTGGATGGAGCTCCACCAGGCCCAGCTGCTGAAACTGGCGACCAACTGTGTGGTAAATCCACTGACGGCACTGCTGGATGTGCGGAACGGCTCGCTGTTAGCTAACCCCGAGCTGCAGGAGATGCAACGTCAGCTTCTCCAGGAGATCTCGCTGGTGTTCCGTCGTCTTCCGGAGCTTCAGGGTCTGCCCGACGTGCAGGAACAATTCTCCGTGGCCAGACTCGAGGAGCAATTGATTGGGAACATTGAGAAGACGGCCAGTAATTCCAGCAGTATGCGCGAAGATGTGCGGGCAGGTCGAGCCACGGAGATTGCGTTCATCAATGGATGGATAGTGCGACGGGGCCAGCAACTGGGGCTGGAATGTCCTACAAATCGGTGCCTGACCCAGCTAATCCTGGCTAAGACTAGCCAAGGGCGCTAAGCCGGCGAGAAATTGGTGTGGAAAGGGGACACTGGGTCCATAACAAAACAAGCATAAGCCCCCCAGCAGGCTGAAATGGTCCACAGTCCGTTTTCAGTCTGCGGTATCAGGGTTAGACCAGCAATAGACAGTACACCGGTAGTCGCTAGATGACCACTACTGTACTTCTCATGAGCATGCTAACTAGTACTAGTATATATGTCTTGGATAAATGATAGTCAGGGGTTCATTGATGGATCATATGCCCACATTGAGCAGCATGTTCTTCACCATCAGGCACTTGGGGGCCATTGGGCACGGCGTCCATTACTAGAAGCGGATCGATAGTGCCAGAGTGGTCTGGCTGGCGGATCGAACCAGGCGAAAATTCCATGCAAATCCTGCAAAAAGATTTGCAGGCCTGACTAATGACTCGTGCGCGTGACGTCAGGGAGGCGGAGTTCAGCCTTGGCGTTCGAGGGGCTCTGCATCAGCTGCCTCAGGCATATATCACTCGACCCCTCAGAAATCTGGCAAATATTGAGAATTATGAACGAGACATGCACCATCATACTCAACAGACATAATGGAAGCCATATACTCACCAGTTAAATCAGATTTCCGCCTGGAATCCCTCCTGGCTTGTCCCCGATGATCATTCAATCGGCAATCGCAATGAGGAATGGCAGCCGTTCACGGTGGGTCTCCCGAGTGCAGGACGGATAAATCGGATGCTGGCCTAGGAGCCACACCAGTGGAGGCAAGCAAGCTGTTTTCGTTTATTATTCAGGCTAGACCCCCATCGTTCAGTCTTTGTCTGTCCCTATCGGTCTTTCTGCGTGCAAGCAAATCCTGTTGTCCCTGACTCCAGGGCCCCGTCGTCTAGATCAGACCAGATCCTGCTCCCCGCTGGCTGTCAATATGTCTCCCATCGACGAGCAACTAGAGATGGCGGAGGTCGATGCCCGGCCCCATACTAATGGCGCGAGCAAGGAGGAAGGCCTCGAGAGGCCATCATCTTCAGGCACCACTGGCTCGACCAGCTACAGTAGCTCGATTGAATACAACCCCCAGCTGCACACTCTTCATTCGCGAAACACCGAACTCGACCTTGAGCGTCATCGCACAGCCACTTCCCATGCCCTAAGCAGGATCGAAACCCAACGGCTTCAGCATCAGTTGACCGTGGGTGAAAGCGTCAAGTCTCGCGCCTCCCGAGCGCCCTTACCTCGCATGGGCGCCAACAAGGATTATCCACCCCCTCTTCCCGATCGAGAAGACTATGTCGTCGAGTTTGACGGCCCCGAGGATCCTCTATACCCCCAAAACTGGAAACTGGGGACGAAGTATGTCAACTCAACCTTGTCGCGTACAAAAGCCATGTTGATCGGCTGAATACTGACCTATGACTCGCCTAGGGTTTACATCAGCGCCATCCTCGCCTTCACCAGTATTTGCAGTACCTTCGATTCGGCTATCTTCAGCTCCTCAACCACCAACGTTGCGCGAGTGTTCGGTGTAGGCATCGAAGTCGCCACCCTGTCGAGTTCATTGTATATCTGCGGTTATGCGTCCGGACCCTTGGTGTGGGCACCCCTCTCCGAGCTGAAGGGACGGAAGCCACCCATTGTGGTAGCTATGTTGGGATTCGGTATTTTCAACACTGCTGTCGCCGTCGCCAAGGATCTGCAGACGATCATGATCTGTCGCTTCTTCTGTGGTGTCTTTGGCAGTTGTCCGCTGGCGGTTGTGGCTGCCGTTTTCTCCGATATCTATAACAACCGCACCCGTGGTGTCGCCATTGCCATGTTCTCCAGCACAGTGTTCCTGGGCCCGCTTCTGGCTCCGTTTATTGGTGGTTTCATCAACTCATCATACCTCGGTTGGCGCTGGACCGCCTACATTCCCGCGTTCATGGGCTATGCCGCCTTCGTGTTGAACATGTTCTTCTTGAAGGAATCCTATCCGCCGATTATTCTGGTCTCGAAGGCTTCGGAACTGCGCCGTCGCACAAAGAACTGGGGCATCCACGCCAAACAGGAGGAAATCGAGGTTGACTTGCGGGAGTTGCTCGTCAACAACTTCTCCCGTCCCCTTCGGCTTCTCTTTGGCGAGCCGTTGATTCTGGCGGTGACAATCTATCTCAGTTTCATCTATGGCCTGTTGTACTGCTTCCTGACAGCCTACACACTCGTCTTCCAGGGCGTATACGGCATGTCTGCTGGTGTTGGTGGATTGACATTGTTCGGCATGGTGGTCGGTTTGCTCATTGCGGCCTCCTATATCGTTTTCGCTAGTCGGGGGTACAACAAGAAGTTAGAGGCCAATGGGGGCATTCCCGTCCCTGAATGGCGTTTGCCGCCTGTGATGATTGGTGGTGTGCTCTTCGCTGCGGGACTGTTCTGGTTCGGTTGGACCGGTTTCACTAAGAGTATTCATTGGATTGTACCCACACTGAGTGGATTGTTCACTGGATTTGGTCTGTTGATCATCTTCATCCAGCTGTTCAACTATTTGATTGATACCTACCTGATGTTGTAAGTTGCCTTGCCTTATTCCTTGCTGATGAACCCTATTCTAATCAATCTTCCAGTGCCGCATCGGCTATCGCAGCGAACACGTTCTGTCGTTCCCTGGTGGCAGCCAGCTTTCCCCTCTTCTCACGTCAGATGTTCGACAACATGGGCATCCAATGGGCTGCCACGCTGCTGGGTTGCGTGGCGTCTATTCTGGTGCCTATTCCGGTTGCTTTCTATTTCTATGGTAAAATCCTGAGGAAGCGGAGCAAGTTCGCGCCGTTTTATGATAAGGTTGCCGAGTCTCATGCGGAGGATCCCGTGGAGGAGAACGGCGTCGCGGAGCACTAAAGTCAGCATTAATCAACAAAAGTTTTGCATATAGCTATTTGGGCGATTGCTATTTTTCATACCCTGTACATCATTAATGTTAATGTGGATAATAGGAATATTGATAATGATTAGACGCGCGTACCCTGTACAATGTTTGGTAGCAGTGTTGTCGTTCGGTGTTGAGATGTTAGCGGGCAATCAGGACTGTTTGCTTGTTGCTTTTACCGCCATCTGAGTCCTTCTCGTTTATGCAGGCAATGATAGCAGCAAATTTATGTAATCAAGGTGCTGTAGTGTAGTGGTCATCATGAAACGTTGTGGTTTTCCGCAGCGCCGTTTCGACCTGGGTTCGATTCCCAGCAGCGCCAAAACTGGCGACTGGCTTGATTACTTCTCTTTACTTTTTGCGTCTCGATCAGTGATGATGTCTTTTCATCTTCATCAGCATCCCCCTTTTTTTTTCTGTCTTACTTGTTTCTATCGTATTCATACTCTGTTCTTTCACAATTTTACATTGTATATATATACTACTAGCTGGTCTTCCTCCAGCCATCTGCCAAATATGAACATTTGAGGTACAACATGGCTACAAGCAGAATAATGTCCATCTCGCACAATTGTGGCTGTAGCTCGGTCTTACAATTATGAGAGTCCTTTGCTGCCTGATAAATTAGACCCTGAAGATCTCGCACACCCAGTCAACTAAGTAATTAAACTTCCAAGGAGCCCTCCGCACAGGCAGAATCACGTGCGCTGCTGGTGCCTGGAGGCCCACCCAAGCTCCAGCCAATCACATCTCATCTGCCTCGGCAATTCCCCCAGAGCTCAGGCAGCAGCAGCCACGGGAGCCTTAGGCTGGGGCATTGCAGACAAAACAATATCACCTTCCACTAGATCTCCGCCTCATGCTCACCTCTATATAATCATGTTTCTCCCATCTCTCTTGTACATCTCTTCTAAGCATCATATCACGAGTACCTTCCGCTATCCGGAACTACTCCCCTCCGCCTCTGATCCTCCTGACTAAAATCTGACGACATAATTGCTCTTATATGCTACTCTCACTATTTCCTATTGCCTCAATTTCACTGAATCTCTTCCCTTCTATCTCTCCCAGTTTCATCCTTCCTCACAACTCACGTCTCACATTCTACTCATCACCATGACCGGCCAAGCTTTCAAGGGCTCGGTCATAGCCGTTGCTGGGTCCTTTCGCGGCTATACACAAGGTGAGCATGACTGACATCACCGCCAGAAGTCACATACTGACTCCACTCTTACAACAGCACAACTAAAGACTATCGTTCAGCGTCATGGGGGAACATTCAGCTCAGCGGTAACAGAAGATTGCACCCATCTAGTGACCACCCAGAGGGAAGTGGACAATAAGAGTGTCAAATGTGAGTACAAGCCGGGCCCTGTCTGTACAACTTCTCCTGACAAATTTTAGACACACAGGCTCGCAAGGTCTATACCTGCAACATCGTCTCCCTGGACTGGCTTATCGAGTCAGACAGTGAAGGAAAGAACTTAGATGAGAAGAAATTCCTGATGGGCTCCGACATCAAGAAAGATGATGAACCGGAAAGTCCAAAGAAGCGTACCTTAGAAGAGGCCCTGGGAATCAATGAGGATGGAAGTACGAAGAAGCTCAAGGATGCACAGACGGTTGGCGCCAAAGGAATCAACGTCCCTGTTGATGAAATATGTCCTCTTCGAGGTAATAGGCACCAACTCTTGATCAAGTTGGAGGAAACTCTAACCGTGAATAGTGACACACACCGTATACATTGATCCCACTGGCCTCATCTGGGATGCGACCCTTAATCAGACGAGTGCGACTAACAATAACAACAAATTCTACCGCATTCAGCTTCTCCACAGAAACAATGAATTCAAGACTTGGACCCACTGGGGCCGGGTGGGCGAACATGGACAAAATGCTATACTGGGTAATGGCAACTTGGATGAGGCAGAGTATGAGTTCAAGAAGAAGTTCAAGGACAAGTCCGGCTTGACCTGGGAGAAACGCTTGGATCCACCAAAGAAGGGTAAATATACCTTCATTGAAAAGAACTACGAGGACGACACAGAAGACGAAGACGAGGATGAAGACAAAGTCGTCGCGAAGAAACCCACCAAGCCCAAGGTAGAGGAAGTGAAATGCACCTTATCACCACCTATCCAAGACCTCGTGTCATTCATCTTCAACAAGGATCTTTTTCAGTCCACCATGGCTTCCATGTCCTACGACGCTCAGAAGTTGCCTTTGGGAAAACTGAGCAAGCGCACTCTCCAGAACGGTTTTCAGGCACTGAAGGATCTATCAGAGCTTATTGCCACACCTGCCCTGGCGAGTACAAGATATGATACTAGCTTTGCTGCCGCAGTGGAGCATCTCAGCAACCTATATTTTACCGTGATCCCCCATGCGTTCGGACGCAATAGGCCCCCAGTGTTGAGCACCGACACATTGCTCAAGAGAGAGATCGAATTGCTGGAGGCATTGACGGACATGGAAGTTGCGAACAATATCATGAAAGAGGCCAAGAACACTGATACAGTTCACCCTCTCGACCGTCAATTTCAGGGCTTGAATATGCAAGAGATGACACCATGTACGTCTTATCTCTAGAGCCTCGTTCCTTTGACTTGTACTAATTCTAGGCAGTGGAACACAAATCAACCGAATTCATTGAGCTGGCCAACTACCTCAACCAGTCTCGCGGTCACACCCACGGCATTCAATACAAGGTTCGCATCTGATGTACCTTATCAAATGAACCAAGCTAACCGTAACAGGTCATAAACATCTTCCGCATCGAGCGCCAAGGCGAGAAAGACCGGTTCCAATCATCCCAGTACTCCAATATCAAGAACTCCTGTCGCCGTCTCCTGTGGCACGGATCCCGCAGCACCAATTTCGGTGGTATCCTCAGCCAGGGTCTACGTATTGCACCGCCCGAGGCCCCCGTCAGCGGGTACATGTTCGGCAAAGGTGTCTACTTCGCGGACATGTCGACCAAGTCAGCGAATTACTGCTGCTCTTGGGGGAGTGGAAACCGGGGACTACTCCTCCTTTGTGACGTTGAGGTCGGCAATCCCATGTATGAGCTGGACACGGCAAGCTACAACGCGGGCAACGAAGCGAAAGGGCAGGCCAAGATTGCTACCCTTGGTCGCGGTCGCTCGATCCCTGGTGGATGGAAAGATGCTGGCTGTGTCAATGAAGATCTGAAGGGGGTGTTGATGCCCGATGTGCAGGTGCCAACCACTAATGCTAACTCAAGGGGGCTGATGTACAATGAGTACATCGTGTATGATGTGGCGCAGATCCAGCAGAAGTATCTGTTCCATGTCAACATGCGGTAGTCTGGCTCTTGTTTTAGATTTTGGTTTTATGGTATGGCGCATATATTAGCTTAGCGGCGGCATCTGGAGCGGATTATGGCGTTGAGCAAGATCTCGGGGTTTGTTTCATAATATATCGGCCCGGAATTAGGGGTTATGGTTTTAGCTGACGCACCTGCATAGCTAGCATCCTACTTGGCAGGCTTAATTGGGTATAAGAATATGAATTGGATTATTCTTAGCTGACGATGATAAATTATCTCAAGGCAACGAAGTATCTGACTGTATCTATTGTTCACCTCGATCCTCAAGATCCTCCAAAGGAAAGAAGTAGGTAGGGCACGTAGGCAGCAGCAGCGAAGGATCTGTAGGCTGCATGGCTACAGTAAATTTCGCAACAAACCATAATGCAACTCAAGAATTATGTATGCAGTCCAGGCAACACACATCCAGTTTGCTGACTACTGGGCCCACCGACTATCTTCCTTCTTATTCATACTAGCACTATTTCCCCGACGATCCCCCTCCTAAGTGATGACCAAACAGGCCGCTTACCCTGCCTATATAGGCATTCACAAAGAGAGGGAAAAAAACCCCCGAAATGATCAAGCATAAAGTCAACTATATTAGAAAATGTAACGAAAAGAAGAGCACGCATGGGGTTCAGTAAGGGGTAGATAAGGACACCGAATGGCCAATGCAAAGGAATATTGAGGATTTTATTCTATTGGATGGTCCTTGATGCTTACATGCATCTTGCGAACCCCCATCTCAGCCTGCATGAGAAAGGGTTCGGGCGCTTAGAAATGAGCCGGAGTTACCGAGCTTATAAGAATAAACTCCATCCCATCCAACCCACAATCCCTTGCTTCAACCCCGCAAAGGGAATCTCATCCTCTCTCATCATGCTAGTCTACCTCACCAACTATTTTATAGCATGGCTCGCCTACTTTTGGCGACCGAAACAACAGCCCTGCGGCAGTCTAACACTGCCGCATATTCCCGGTATTGAGATCATATCCACGACCCGCCAAGAGGTCCATAACTACAGCGTAGCAGCCTCTCCGCCATACAGTCTCGCAGATGTACACGACCTCGACTTCTGCAACGTTTCCATCACCCTGACTCACCCCGGTGAAAATGACACTGTCGCTGTCTCCGTCTGGCTCCCCCTCGCCAACTGGAACGGCCGTTTCCAGGCTACTGGTGGCGGCGGCCTCGCAGCCGGCATCATCGGCCTGGCCTCAGCTCGCCCAGTCAGCCAGGGCTACGCAACAGCTGCAACAGATGGCGGTCTCACCTTGAATGGAACCAGTAATCCCCAGACGGGGGCCTGGGCTCTGCGCCCTGACGGTTCCATCAACACCGCTCTGCTAGAGAACTTCGCCCATCGCTCCATCTATGACATGACTATCATCGGGAAGACCCTTACCGAGCGCTTCTACGGATCTCCGCCAAAGTACTCCTACTGGAGTGGCTGCTCTACCGGCGGCAGACAGGGATACTTCGCTGCAGCAAAGTATCCGACTCTCTTTGACGGAATTCTCGCCGGTGCACCGGCCCTAAATTTCCCACGTTTAATCGGATATATGTCCTGGCCGCCGGTGCATATGTTCCAGTCCGCAGCGCCGCCGCAGTGCGTCTTTGACACATTCCTGAGAGCAATCGTCGAAGAATGTGACCCGCTCGATGGAGCCACGGATGGGTTGATATCAGATTACAACCCACAAAGCTGCCTATTCGATCCCGAAACACTTCTCGGCCAAACGGTACCATGTCCGGAGATGGGTTCAGATTTCCCAGTAACCATCACAGCCCAGCACGTCACCCTCGTCAAGCAAGTCCTGCAAGGTCCCGAACTCCCAGATCACCCCAACCTCTGGACAGGACTCCCACCGGGCGCCTCATTCCGCGGAACGGCAAACACCGAAGTAATCAACGGATCGATCGTCAGACCAGTCCCCTTCTTCCCCATCATCGGCTGGATCAAGAACTTTGTCTTCCAGGACCCGAGCTACAATGTATTCGACATGAATGTCGATGACTTCGACACTGTCTACCGTCTCACGCTGGACGGCTACAATGGCATATTCGGCTCGGATGATTTCACTCTCTCTGATTTCCGTCGCGCAGGGGGGAAGCTGTTGACCTGGCATGGGTTGGCGGATGAGCTGATCCCAGCGTCGTGGACGAATGCATTCTGGGATAGGGTTGATAGGAAGAACGGTGGAGATGCGGATGAGTTCTATCGAGTGTTCCTTGCGCCGGGACTGGGACACTGCTCGGCCGGGTATGGGCCGAGACCGGTTGATCCGTTGGGCGCATTGGTGCGCTGGGTGGAGGAGGGGAGTCCTCCTGATCGATTAAGTGCAGCGGCTGTCAGGGCGGATGGGACGGAGGTGACGAGGGAGTTGTGTCGGTATCCGGCGACGTTGGTGTATGATGGGCATGGTGATGTGAATGATGCGGGAAGTTTTTCATGTCGATCCAGAGAGGCATTATGGTTATGATGTTATATATTGATACTCTATAGTCTCTTGATATTTTGGGAAGGCTAGAGGTGGGACACTGGCACTTGCTTACGGCTAAATGACTTGGAATAGAATATGCTTTCGGGAACTGAACCAAAATCTCGATCTCGGGAGGAGTGGATACTGCAATGGCCAAAGACAACAACCACCACCAAAATAAAAACACAAAAAATGGAGCTGCGGGGAATCGAACCCCGGACCTCTCCCATGCTAAGGGAATATTATACCACTAAACCACAGCCCCATTTGTTGAAAGACAGGGGTCTACATTTGTTATATAATATAGATCCTGCCATAGATAGAAGGGATTGAGGTGACAGGTGGTTGTGATGTTGACAATCCACCAGGAGGGCGGTTGGTGGTCATAGCATTCTTAGTATTAGACGCCTGATCAGGAAATGAATATCTGGGGAAATTTTCATCAATTGGTGAGGCACGGTTGAATGTGGTTGATGGTGAATGGCATTGTTCAGGTAGACAAGTCATCAGCTCGGAAATATATTCCTCGGACGTGCTGGTTCGCTCAGGGTTAGCCAAAGTGAAAACCAACAATATTGCTTAACCCTCGACCATCAGACAGAGGTTCTCTCCAAATATGAGGAGGGCTGGCGACTCGACCAATTCCACAAACAATGCATTCGAAGCGCATTCAAGAGAGCCGAAGTTCTCAGTTACGTGCAAGAGTATACGAGAACTTGGACCTGTCCAGCCAGATATCCTTACAACTGCGTGGAAACAGGTAAGCATCGGCGACAAATAATCCTGCGAAAAGACTCAGCCACCAAGAAACACCAGGCAATCATAAGGTCCCACGCCTGAGATTGCAAAAGCGACCGTAGCAGGATCACGATGGCGTTCTGCAACCTTGATCGGAGGCCGCTTGTCCAGGCCACACCAACCACAATGCATACCGAGAGCTGAGCAGTTGAACTAATGCACCATCCATGCAGCCTCTCTGATCAGATGTGAATGCGACAACACAGAGACCAATAAGAAATATATTAATTATGCAATACCGGCACGACCCCTCCTTCAGCTACCCTACAATATAAAACAGTCGGGATCTCGCCCAGCTAGCCCACTGTCCTCCTCGATGCTATTACGTTCGATCCCCCTATCGCCACCATGCCAGTAACGTTGTGGACGGGCGTCTTCAACGCCCTTACGATCGTATACATTTTCATCTCATTTTTCACTCGCAAGAGCAAGCATCCGCCTCTACCTCCCGGTCCCCGACGAAAGCCTATTGTGGGTAATCTCTGGGATCTGCCCGACCCAAGTCAGCAAGATTGGCAGCACTGGCTGAAGCACAAGGATCGCTATGGTACGATCAAGCACCCAAGTAACTCTGAAACGAAAGGCTGCATGTCTGACTGCCAACAGGCCCAATCAGTTCCCTCAGCATCATGGGCCAAACCATCATCGTCTTGAACGACGCCCGACTAGCGGTGGAACTACTCGAGTCACGATCATCGATCCACTCCTCGCGTCCACAGCAACACTTCGCAGAGATGTGAGACAACAAGACCTACCTTATCATATTGCAGATCAATTGATGAATTGTACAGGGCGGGCTGGAACAACGTCCTCGGAGCGGTGAAGCAGTCTCAGCGCATCCGAGCAACGCGCAAGAATCTGCATAGGGAGATCGGATCCAACAATTCGGTCGCTCGATTCAATGAGATTCAGATAGCGGAGGTGGGTCGGTTTCTACTGAGGGTACTGGATGCGCCGGACAAGTTAATGCAGCATATACGCAAGTGCGTTACCCCTTACCATACATTATTTTCAACCACTAATACTGAACCAAAACCACCAGAGAGGCGGGCGCAATCATCTTAAAAGTAGGATACGGATATACCATCGAACCGCATGATCAAGACCCGTTGGTTGATCTGGCCGACAAGGCGATGGAGGATTTCTCGATGGCCATGCTTCCAGCCACATGGGCAGTGGACTTTTTCCCACCCCGTAAGCCATAGCCCGCAGCTATGCAGAAACAAACCAGACTGACTAGTTGATCAGTAAAATATCTTCCAACCTGGTTCCCAGGTACAGAGTTCATGAAGATCGCACAACGCTATCGAAAGAATGTCACGGCATTCAGCGATATCCCTTGTGCATTCGTGAAGGAACAGATGCGAACTGGCCGCTTCGTACCGTCTTTTCTCTCCAACCTTCTCGAGAGCAGTGCTTTCGAGCCCGGATCCGAAGAAGAGAATAATGTCAAGTGGTCTGCTGGATCGCTCTACGCCGGGGGAGCTGATACGGTAAGAACCCTCCGTCCTGGCTTGCTCCCGATCAATGCCGTACTTACTCTTGAATGAATCAACAGACCGTCTCCTCCATCGCTAGCTTCTTCCTCGCAATGGCTCTCTTCCCCAAAGTGCAGCGCAAGGCACAGGAGGAAATCGACATAGTGATCGGAACAGACCGACTGCCGCAGTACGGAGACCGAGAACAACTACCTTACATCAACGCCTTAGTCAAAGAGACGCTCCGATGGCATCCAGTCGTACCTATGAACGTTGCACACACCTCGACCGAGGATGATGTCTGCGAGGGATACTTCATTCCCAAGGGATCGTCAATCCTTGCCAATATATGGTCAGTTCTCCCCATTATCCTTTCTGATCCGTAAGACTCTACCACCAACTAACACCCTTGAAACGCATACAGGGGATTCACCCACGACCCAGCCGCCTACCACGACCCGATGACATTTAAACCCGAACGATTCCTAGGCCCAAAGCCAGAGCGAGATCCCCACTTCCTTGTATTTGGATTCGGTCGTCGTGTCTGTCCGGGGAAGACTCTAGCTGATGTAAATGTGTATTTCACCATCGCCCAAGCTCTCGCTGTCTTTGAGATCTCGAAACCAGTGCAAAATGGGGAAGTTAAGGACATTCATCCGGAGTTTCTCCCGGGAGTCATCAGTCACCCGGCACCGTTTAATGTGTCTATTCGGCCGAGGAGTGCGAAGCATCTGGAAATGCTTCGGTCGTTGGAGGAGAAGTATCCTTGGGAGAAGAGTAATGCGGAGGATTTGGGGAATGTGCAATATTAAGAGGAGGTGCTGGTGGTAGAGATGATTTCGTGGTCGGGTGAGCTGAGACGCTGATGGCTAGGGCTGTTGTATATCGGCTGAGCAGAGAGTATATTGTGTTTTTGACCAGTTAAGGCCATCGGTCATAATGTTACAGTAGTATCTATATAGGGATATCCTATCCGTGCAGCTGTAAGCAAGGTGATTCCATATAACAATCACCAACAAGCAGATGCACCCGCCTTATGACTTCGTCTCTTCAGTATTCGGCCGTCTGAGCCCCTCCATCAGCCACTCATCGAACAAGAACTCTGTCACAGTCGGTCGATCCTCTGCATTCCACTGCAAGGCCTTCCGAAGCCATCGGAAGAATCCCTCTTTATTCTCCCCTGGAATGTCGGCACCTAAACTTTCCAGAGAAACATCCGGGATCGGCGCCAAGTCCTTCCAATTTCCTACAGATATCTAGTTAAATTGGGCTTGAGTTGAAAAGGTATTTGGCCTTACCCTGCTCGTCCCAGAAGACGTAAGCCAATTTGCACCGCTCGCGGAAACTCGCCGGAGGAGGTCCCATGAGCGCTATCATCTCCGCAAGATGCACTCGGTCATCGAAGATGCCATCCGCGTTTCTGCCGTCGAACATGTGGCGAGGACTTACGATGTCCCATGCCTATAATAAAAGATTCAGCATGGAGATAGGGCGTAATCTATACCAGCTGCACTAGCACCTAGGAATTTGGGAGAGGATCTTACCACCATAGCAACATTCCAAATATCAAACTTGTAGCCCCAGCTCTCTTTCAAAACGACTTCAGGCGCTCTGTACATATTCGGCATAATGTCGTCACGATTCTCAACATCGCCAAAGCGGGCTTCGCCGAAATCACATAGTAGAGGTAGGCCACTCCCCCCGGGGTTGTAGACAGTAGATAGGTAGATCGTTCTGTCTTTGAGCACCTTTCTAGGTGATGGATCATTGACTTCCCGTTCTTCGAGATTCTCGAGTGTCTTAGTATCTGGGATAGGGAGGAGCAAGTTCTTCAATTGAAGATCTTTTCTTGGATTAGTCCAACAATTAGAAATGTAGAATCGGGGATTTTACCAGTGTGCACTATATGAGCAAACGAGTGCAGAAAGTCCAGAGCGATCAATAGCTGCCTGATGCAAGACTTCATCTCTTTAAGAGTCATAGCGTTTCCAGGGATGCATTTCTGCAGGAGTGTATCTGCACTCACGCCCATAGGATCATGAACAAGACAAACATGAGGGCCATGGGGCCCGGTGATGGTGAAATGATCGAAGAGCTTGCGAATAAGATCTCTCCCAGGATGCTCTACTTCAGCAGCGCCCATACGGTTGTATATCTCCAGCTCATGGTTCTTTCTTTGGCCAGTGACATAGATCTTGAGAGCAACATATTTTGAGTCACTTCGATGACATACTGTCAGGGGTAAGCTAAGCAAATTGGGGGCTATCAGACATACTGCAGGTCGCGACCTAACCATACTGTCGAAGTCACTCCGTAGCCCAACTTGGCCAGTACTTGGTACCTGTTATTCAACACTTCGCTCTGCTGCACGGGGTAGTACTTTTCAGGCCGGTAAGTAGGGAGAGTTTCTTCCTCAATCTCTATACTGGGATCAATAAGGAGGTCTGTAGTGGGGAATACTCTCAAGGAGGACTTCCATTGCGAAGAGTAACGGATTGTTTGATAGGACGCGCGTGTGATGATACGGAGATGTGATGTTGGGGTACGTATACTAGGATAACAAGGGAGGTGTAACTTAGTGTGAGGTATTCTTAAAAGACGGGCGCATTTGGTGATGCGGCCTGCCATGGGGATAACCGTGGTTAAGCTATCTATCTTATCTGGATAGATCGTGTTCTTGACGGGTCGGTGGAGCGCGAGATCCATTCAGCCATCCAGAAAGGGGGATGGGCATTGTATAGATGACATAAGCAGTATAATTTGCATATGCATAGCTATGCAGGTGCTGATCAAGTTGAAAGAGTTACGTGGAGAGTATATTTGAATGTGATCCTACAGAAAATTTACAAGAAGAGGATAATAATGCTATAATTACGCAGTGTTGCGCAAGAACACTGAGAGAAATGCAAGGACGGCACACACCAGGCAACCGAGACCTAATTAGAGCCCTTACTGGCTGCTATATAACTTTACTTAGAGCTCACGTCTTCCTCTAATTAATACACATACCGGAATCTCGTGTTCTCCTTATCAGTCAGACCAGCCCACTTGGCCTCATCCACCATCGAATCTTCCACCCTACCGTACCGGCTATCCCGTCTCCGGTTCTCCCACACGTAATATGCGAACAGCACGACAGACATGACAGCTGCCGCAGCCTGGGTGGTCAGCACCGCAATCTTCGCGGGACGGTATTCAGGGGCATCGCGGGCCTGGAAGGTTTGAGGCCCGATGATGTTTCCGACCGAGAAGGAACCGGCGATCAGTGCACTGCTGAAAGCGCGCTTCGTGTGACCGGCACAGTTGGCCATGGTCCACTGGTATAGGATGGGAAGGGTGGCAACAATGGCATTTACCAGGTAGATACCGATGAGAACACCGGCCTTGTTGCTTTTGGGGAGGAAGGAGAGGAGGCCACCACCAATAATGCCGGGGATAGTGCAGAAGGCGTTCCACGCCCAGCGGTGAGAGGTTCTGCGGATACCAAAGCCAACCAGCAGGGTGAAGAAGATACTGACGATGCCGGAGGGCATGTTGAGAAGGGCGGAAATAGGACCGGAGTATCCAAATCCGGAGATGAGAGTGGCGGAGTAGGTGGTTACGACACCGCTAGAAACAGAGATCTGGCATGGGTTAGCCTCGAAGTGAGAGGTGGATTAGGGTCAATCTTACGAGAATGGTGATCAAGACTAACAGCCAGAGCTGGATGTCAAGCACAGCTTCCCAGATTTGCTTAAGGTTGATGGAGCTACTCCACACTCCCGTCTGGTTGACACTGGCGTGCTGCAGGAGAGCCACCTTTTCTTCCTCAGACAGCCACTTGGCCTTCATGGGGGTGTCGGGAATGAAGAGTAGAGTGAGCACACCAATCAACACAGTGGCCAAGCCAATGACCAGGAACATGATGCGCCATCCGGCAAGGGTGTCCCCGTGGTGAACATGCTGGAAGCCAAAGGATACTAGACCACCAATGATCTGGGCTACTCCCAAACCATTATACCAAAGGGTAAAACGAGGTGCTTGTTCGCTTTTTGTATAGTATTGACTGCTGATGAGCATCAGAGATGGTCCAATCGTGGCCTCGAAGATACCCAAGAAGACACGGGCAGTGAGGAGGGTCGCATAGTTTTTGGCGCCTGCGGACGCTGCAGCAGCAACTCCCCAGAGGGCGACATTTGCACCGAGCCACTTGGCGGCAGGGACTTTCTGGAGGCAGTAGACTGATAGTGATTAGATATTAGCACGGAATTTATGTTTGTTGAGGTAAACGGACATACTATTAGGAGCCTCGGCGATCAGATAGGCCAAGAAGAACCACGTTGCGGTGTTGGTGTACTCATTCCCCGCGAGGTGGAGTTCCGTTTTCATTCCCATGACGGCAGCATACTATGTCCCCCCTTGCGTCAATGAGGGGTGTGTTGGCTGGAAGCTTGCGACGACTCACGTTAAGCATGACCTTGTCCAGAAATTGCAGCACATAGCAGGAGAACATGAAAGGTATCAAATGCCAGTCAATCTTTCGACGCAAAGCCCGCAGATCGATCTGAGAGCTGTCGGGGCCGGCCGCATGGCCCTGAAGGTATTCCACAGCATCGTCGGTGCGATCCACAGGCAGAGCCTGTGAAAAGGCACCCGGCAACTTCTCCTCCATGTTATATCTATAATCTGTCGCTAAAGGACAGAATAGAGACAAAAGCAAAGAGAAAAGACAAGGGGGGTTGCGGGAAAATAATCGAAGAATTAGAAGTAGTCAGAGAAAGGAATGCTGGGATGGGAGGTTACATGCAGGATCCTGCAGGCAAAAAACCACGGGAAGTGCAACCGGATTGGCCGCAGGGATACCATTGGGTTCCAGTAGTTTAATATATTTGTCAAGATAACTGCCTGGCCACTTCATCTTGCAGAAGTTTGTAAATGCTCTAAAGTCTACGCTAGACCAGGGCTCGAGATTTTAGTGCGCGCGATTCTGCCCGGATTCTTCTGGTCGCCGAAGGATTTTGATTGCGAACCCTCCTTCAGCTCTAAGGACAAGATTTTACCCCTTGTTGTAGGGCTTCAGCATGATCCTGCGAAGCCCAGGATCGAGAAACTCCCTCCAGCCAGCGCACATCACGACTTGCATAATCACTACGCAAATATCCTCTCTTCCTCATGCCTCCTCTCGCTTTCTCCTTGATATTCTACATTTACTGCCAGTATGGGCTGGGTGCACCATGCCTCGCCTGAAGTGGAGGCTGAGTCGCAATACCGCCTGATTTTAGGGGTATGTCTGGGCTTGACCTTGTTGATGGTTATCACTGTCTGCCTGCGCCTAGCGATTCGGTTTAATGCCCGCCGATTGGAAGCGTCCGACTTGGTGATGCTGGTGACTATGGTGGGTTGCCTTTGGTAGTAGACGATCCGACCGCTAACTAGTGTCAGGCCTTCAGTATCATATACAGCGCACTGTGCATCGCTCGTGAGTCCAACAAGCTTTCAGTACACAACAATTGCTAAGGATCAATAGAAAGCAGATATGGTCTTGGATTGCCCTTGTCGCTGCGCCCCAAGGCAGACCTTCCGGATTACACAAAGGTATGCGCTGTGCCTGAACCGATCGAGACAGAGTATTGATAACCACCAACAGCTCAATTATGCCGGTCGCCCATTCTATCAACTCGGAATCGCTGGGTTTAAAGCTTCCCTTTGCCTCAACTATTTGCGATTGATTTCCGGAACGTCCAAGAATTACTACCGAATCCTTATATGGGCCGTAATAACCATCTCGACACTTGGTCATCTTGCGGGAACGTTAGTTCTGATATTTGACTGTCAGCCGGTGAGAGAATCTTCCTCTAGTCGCAGTGCTAGGTTGCTGATAAAACGATCGAAAGGTTGAGCGCGCCTGGAATCCCAACATCTCAGGGTCCTGTCTTCCAGCAGGTCCAACATTTTATGGATTAGCCATCTTCACCATCATCTGCGACATCACCATCATTATCCTTCCCATTCCGCTATTGCTCCAACTGAACATCAAGACAGCACAAAAGGCAGGAGTGGTTTGTCTGTTTCTTCTGGGGCTGTTCACCACGATCTGCTCGATCCTCCGCCTCACACAAATCAATCGGGTGGCTTATGGCGATGGGAACTCGACCATGTTGGTACTGTGGGGCACAATTGAGTTCAACGTCGGGGTGAGTTTCCACGAGAGAGAGAACAGGGTGATGCACCGAGCCACTGACCAATTAAATTAGAACATTGTAACTTGTGTTCCCTTTCTCGCGCCTCTGCTGAAAGGTGCGGTGCGCGATTTCCGATCGTACAGTGGTCGAAAAGGGTACGATAGCCGTAGTTATGCTTTGCAAACCTGGTCGAAAGATCCGCGCTCCCAGTTACGGTCGACAACTTCGGCGGCGCCGCAACCCAAACGCACGCCCAGCGAGGAGCTTATCCTCGAGAGTGGGGGAATCGACGAGGGAGGCATTCATATGACGGTGGAGCTGCGCGTGTCGCTAGAAAAGAGGCCAACAACAGAGGCCAGAGAGTGATGCCCGTACTCTTGCCATCGACTGATGGCGCCATTCCTTGAAAACCAATCTCTTAAACTTTCATTATGTATATTAATCACTCACTGGGTCTTCCTCTTCTCGTCCTATCAAGCGCAGCTTTCCGGCGATTCCTGAATAGTGCAATGCAGGAATCTTAGTAGGTGCTTAGCACTATGGGATTAATAGTGCTTACGCTTCTCAGGATCAAACCAGACCGGGATCATACTGGGCCGATTTAACAGAGACAAGCCAGTGGAGTCGAGCAGAGCAGGCCAGACCAACCGCCCCCGACGGGATCTTCCCGGCCATCAAGCCCAGCTCCATCCAGGAGGAATCCTGTGCGTCCCGTGAAACCTTAAAGGTGGTCCACTCGGGAAGTCATCCCCGGGCGGCCACCGAGCTGTGTTCCGCACTGGTGAGAAATGGGTAATGTGGCCGCCTAATCGAACCAGTAACTGGACATTAGTGTCTGGCCGGTGTGCCATTTAGCTACTAGAGATTTGACACCACTATCAGAATGGAATATGACCCACTGCGGACGGACTGTGACAGATTGACACCGGAGAAGGGACCGCGGTGGTAGGGCTAGAGACCGGCGCTAAGGTCTCAAGCACAACGCCGTCCCCCACGCGATGCCGGCCTAACATTCTTAGTGCTGTTAAGGATCTTTTAGGGCCGGCTTTGTTTCACCTCACGCATTAGACTGGCACGAGACATCCAATGTAACTTTATTGCGTCGTTATTACGGTTTAATTTTGATTAAATTAAGGTTGGCGGAGGTTTCCATTGCCTAATGGCGTGCTGTATCCTAGCTACTGGTCGTCAACTTTACCAACATTGTTCGTTGTCCTCAGCAGCGCAGATACGAGTCTCTGACTCCTTGCATATTCAAGGATATGATACTTTCCAGAAGCAACCCTTAGTGATCAGTGAATGCGCATCAATCTCATCGAGCACCTCTCCTAATCTAACTGTAAAGGATAAGCATAAATTATTCAGAGACAAACACGAGCCTTAGCACCATCAAGCCCTAAGGCCACCCAATTAGTATGGTTTTGCTGGCCTGACCCATCTCAACAACGCCTCACATTCTCTTCCCATTGGCACATTCCCATACGATAACGGTTCCACCAATCCAATTCCTGCGCACCTGCCACATAAGTCACCGTCCGATTCCAACCGGTCCTTGATTACAGCAGTATTACAGCGATGCGTCTTCAGGTAAAAGGGTCAAGGGATGAACCCGTGTTCCCGTGGAACCGAACATCCGTGCCTCCTCGCTGCCCCCATCATGGCTGATCTTCCCGTCCTCATCGTCGGTGCTGGCATCAGTGGCCTCCTTCTGGCCCAGCACCTCCAGAAACTCGGTGTCCCTTACAAGATCTTCGAGCGCGATACCGCTATCGATGCACGAAGCGGGGGTTGGGGGTTGACGCTCCATTGGGCGCTCCCTGCACTGCGGGAACTCCTACCGGACGACCTTGTGCAACGCCTCCCAGAGGCATATGTCAACAAGGCTGCTGCTGCCCGCGGTGACACCGGTCGCTTTTCATTCTTTGATCTCAAAACAGGATCAGCGTTGTACAGTGTCCCCGCTGCGGAGCGCATTCGGGTCAGTCGCGTTCGACTGAGGCAGCTGGTGGCCACGGGGCTTGATGTTCAGGTAAGACAATCTTTCACTGCCTAGTAAGATGGGATGGAATGAAATTATCCTTCACTTTCGGGCCCTCTGACCAGAACTGCAGTGGAACAAAACTCTCCAAAACATCGAGTCCTCCGCCGACACTGTCACCGCGCATTTCGCAGACGGCACCTCCTACACAGGATGCCTCTTGATCGGCTGCGATGGATCGCGATCCCCAACCCGCGAGATCTTGTACCCGGACAGCCATGAGATGAATCCACTGCCGGTGCAGATCCTCGGCGCAGCTACTCTATATACAGCAGAGGAGATGGCAGGCGCCGCGGATATTGATCCATTCATCTTCCAGGGCTCGCATCCTGAATCCAACGTCTTCCTGTTCTTCAGCAGTATGCATATACCATCCTCCTATCACAAAGCAACATGTACTCAGCAGCTAACTTTTGATTTTCGGACTAGTCCTCGATAATCCCAACAACTTCGCAGAAAGCAGCAAGGACAAATACGAATGCCAGATCATAATATCATGGGCAGATTCCAAGGACATCGCAGTCCCCAGCGACAACAGGGAGCGAATCGCCCTGATGAAATCCTTGGCCTCGAACTGGGCGGAGCCATTCAGGACCCTGGTCTACGGGCTACCTGAGGACACGGAGGCACGGTCAATCCGCATCGCAGACTGGATGTTCCGACCGCTGCAGAATCGCTCGCATCCTAGAGTTGTGCTGATGGGTGATTCGGCGCATACGATGACTATGTGTATGTTCATACAATGCTGTGCTGTGCTGGGTGGGAGGATTGCATGCTAACAGTGGTATCTAGACCGCGGAGAAGGGGCCAATAATGCCATCGTTGATGTACTGGACTTAACTAGACGTGTGGATTTGCGTTCGCTAGGGTGAGTATCAGCGCTTCGTGGGACGTACTACTAGATACTAACCACTCGTCCAAACAGATCCTTGTCGACACAAGCACTGCGAGATGCATTGGACGTCTACGAGAACGACGTCTTCAGGCGCGCTGAGCCCAGCGTGCTCAACTCGCGTCAGGCCTGTGTCGACGCTCATGACTTCACGCGGATCTTGGACGAGAGTCCACTAGTATCAACCCGGGTGCTGAAGGAGGATGCCGCGGAGAAGTAATTTTAGTTGAGAACCTCCTAAGGACTCACGGAGAACCAGGATAGAATAATGAGCCTGCGTTTGATAAATCCAAGAAAATTAAACTTCTATGCATCACCAGAACAAACGCAATGTACAAGTACAAGGTACCAGACCTATTTCACATGCCCTACTTCTCATGCCCAACGAAGAAACAACAACGTTATGCAACATGCCCATGCATGACAAAGCCCCCCCTCATGCAACCCACACATTCATATACAACCATCACCGCCCACCCAACCCCTCATGCGGCGCCCGACCAACCTTCGGTTCTCCAGGCTTCCCGCCCCTAACAGCCTCCCGATCCCCGTCCGAAACGAACATCGAACGTCCAAGCTTATTCTCCCCATCAATAGCCTGTTGGTCTCCCTCAGGGGAGAACCTCTGCTCCTTGCTTGGCGACTGCATCCGAAATGTGAGCAAGGCGCCGGAGATAACCGCGAACATGGTTAGGAAGGCGGTATTCCGGGATCTATCAGTACCTCGAGATCAGTATATTGACAATTGATCCAGTGATAGGGATAGGGTGTGGCTCACTTAGCTCCGGATGACATGCCATTTCCGTAACTTAGACTTGGGTTCGGCATGGTTGATGGTTCGGATGTCAGAATATGATGTATGTATCTTTGGACCAGGATTGGTTGTCATTGTTGGGAGACAATACTTGTTGTTCAACTCCTCTTATATTTGAATCCGGGCGGTCGCCACGATGACACAACCATGACTGCGGTGGGATGTAGGTTTGGCCAGACTGTGTTTAGCTTTGGTGAGGAGTGTGTAAGTTTGGGTGGTTGTGGGTTGAGAAGATGATTCCGGCTACTGAGCTCGGATGGTTTTAGTTTCATCGGAATTGATTTACTTTCAAGTTTTGTTGATATCTGTAGGGTTATATGTCCAGACTGGTTTACGCTATAGATTGTCTTGGGACAATTGTTGGAATTCTTATGAGCGGGAGAACTGGATCGATCCGTGATGGTAGAGTGGGAAGTGACACAGCGCTAGGCATTGGGTGAAGGAACACTCTAAACCATTAGAAACAATTGAATCATTGCATCAGTTTATTCTGTATCGGGTGAGGTGGTTGTATATCGGATGGAGCAAAAAGAAAATGCAAAAAGATATGACAAGAGTGGGATTCGAACCCACGCCCCTTTCGAGACTAGGAATGCTCCGAAGAACATGTTTGATCAGATAGCCTGACCCTAGCGCCTTAGACCGCTCGGCCATCTTGCCTGTCGCTTGAAAGATGCTGGCTGCTTTGGCTATAGGAGCTCTTTCACAATCCACTGCGCGTAGGGAAGTTGAAGCTTGTCGCATTCACATGCTACAGACAATGCCTGATGCTACGAGTTGAGTGTCCTATTACGAAATAATATATGCATATTCTAAGACATAGCGTTGATCTCAATGATTGACAGGGTAGTGTGTAATGGTTCGACGATCGATTGACTAGGCCATTGACCTGGATGAACCGAATGTATATATTTCGGGAGCCCTTTGTGGTATGCTTTTTGGTACCAGTGGCAAGTAACCCAGCCCCAGATGGATGCCCTCGTCGAGCGATATCCAGCCCTGTCCGACATGCATGATCGCAGCAGCGCTAGTAGTAGGCATCCACGAGTACAGACTGTTATGTAGTCGAAATTGATCGAATGCAACCCTACAAGTAACTATCGGATACACAGCAATAGAATCGGCTGCTCGCGACCGAGCACGATCTCCTACGTAACCCAAAAATTTCCCATAAATGCACCCAGAGATAACGTAGCACGCAATCTCGGACCGTACAGCATTGATACCGAGCGGAGATAGACCCCCCCCCCCCCCCCCGGCTGCAGGATGCGCCGTGAAACAGTGATTGTATACCCATTTAGGAAACTCACAAGGAGGATAGTGGGTCACCGAAGAGAATTGCTGTGCAGGCCGGTCAACGATGACAGAAGGAGAATACGCTGTACATCACTTCATTCTTAGCTATCAGTAGAAATAGAACACCGTACTCATGATCGACAGCACAGAAGAGACTAAAGGGGTAAAGGGGCCAGGAACAGGAGGGCTTCCCTCTCCTTGCTACTCCACCCCTAGGCAGGCACCAGCACAGTTATGAAGAGTAGTTCATGAAATCCACTCGGTCGGATCATCACCGTATCGCTCTTCTGGCTTGGCCGATTCTTGAGTGTGCACATCGAGGTGAGGATCGAGGATCAATGTGGACGCAAACTGCGAGCATAGCCAGAATTGAGCTAATTTCCAGGGAACAGCTAGCGCACATATATGCACTAGCCAGCTAAACCACCCATACACAATGAACACCTTCTGATAGTAGCTAGTAGCAACGGTGCCGGAGAATTGCGAAGATGGCACATTAAGTTTCCTATTAGTCAATGGGATATTGGGATGAATGTTGAGCATTATTCGGAAGCAAGTATGTTTGCTAGTCTCGGCGACGCTGCGATTTATCGAGATTTCTCAGTTCTCGCTGCCAGTGCGAAGAAAGAACGCGGGGAGAGGAAAGGTGGCCAAGCAGTGCCAATGTGCGCCTTTTGCTTGGACTGACTCAGACGCGTCATCCCAGTTCTGCCAGTGCGAGATGTGATGTGCATTGTCAAATCAATCGCACCATAATCAGTCTCCAGCACGCCTAGCTCGGGAACGAGCACGAGCCAACAGGGCCAAACCCCCTCATGGCATGTTATTTAGTCCAACGTTCGCTAATTTATTCGATGCATCGATGGTCTGAAAGCAGCAGTCGAATTGCCAGGAGGCCTGCCTAGCTTGCGCACGAAGGGCTCGTGCACCACGCGATGCTTTCAACGGTCAAAATAAGAGTATGAAAAGGATCAAATATATTGAATCCTGCCGTTCCCACCGGATGTTTTGCTCTTGGCATAAGAGGGGAGGTGAGGGGAAATGAGGAGGCGTGAGGGGAAATACGAACCCGCTGACTAAATGAAGCCCCTGAGCTCCCTGGAGTCTGAGGCACGAGGCGTAGGATGGAGCTATTCATTGATGTCGACGGGGGTGGCCCTTATGCTTTCTTTGGCTTTGTCTTTGCAATTTCAACTAGGCTCTTGTTGCCATGGTGGAAGAAGTTCCAACCAATTACTCGGGACGCCGCCTCTCAAATTTCTGCCTGGGAGGGACCCTAACTCGTACCCCAGGGACTAGTACTATGTATAAGGGGTGGACGACGGCAATAGAGCACATGTGATAGGATCCCCCAGGCCTCCCAAGGACTTGGTAATTGAGGCGATTTTTGATGGGCAAGGCGGGGCGACATTCCGAAAGGGAGGTGACCCCCGATGTTGTAACTTGTCTCTCAACTGGCCAGCCTAAAGAACGCCACCATAGTACTAGTCACGCAAGAATCTCACTCCACTGCCTGCCAGTCATTCGAACAAAGGCATTGGGGAAACAGAAAAGGCTATTGAGCTCTGGTACACTTTTTTGTGCCTTTTCCCAAACTCTCATGACCACCCCCGCCTCGCGTCGGTTCGGGAATCTCAGACGAGAGTTTAAATCTCTTCGCTGTGCCGCGCCATTGCTATAGGACACTGACTCGGCACACCCAATCAAGTTATACTACTGAACTCATTACACAGGACATGCAATTAGCCGAGTAGCGTCCACACAGATTGCAGCCAATGTCAACAATTCCATTTGTCGAGAGAGGAGTGTTGGACCACTACAATGGGACCAGGTGGATGTTACTGCGCGGTTTTCTTTTCCAGCTGCGCGCTCCACGAGTGATAGGGCTGAAGAACAGTGTCACCGTGAACAGACTCAGAACTAGCGAAGATTTAAGAAGGACTAAAAAGGGCGCAACCTGACGCACAGAAAAGGATCATCGTGTTTTCCACAAATCTACGGCATACGGCAAGTCCTCCGTATCTAGTCCGGCCCGCGAAATCCGTAACCACGGATCCAGGGCCGTGTCTAACTCTGTCATCCACCCCCCTGGAGATCCAATTTCCACCAGCTTAGATTGATCCTCCTTCTTAAAGAGGCAAGCCGAAGGCAGACCGTGCTTCGAAAGGTTCGAAGCTTCTTTATCCTCCCGCCTGGTAACCGTGATCACCCTAATCATCCCTTTTTCTCTTACCGGGACTCCGCACCATGGGACCGACCCAACCCGATAGTGGTTGCGATAAGGACAGGATTGCAATTTGTAGATCAACGAGTCAGGAGCTATTTAGAAACCATCATCGTTGGTGCCTGCGATAGCGCACAACAAGTGCCACCTTGAGTGCCACTCAGAAACGTGGCCGGAGGCGGAGATTTTTCTACCTGCGCCCGTTTATCGCCACCACAGCCAAGCATAACACGGGCAACGTAGCTTTCCGACATTGTCAACAGAGTTTCTTGTCAATGTTATTCTTCTTCACTCGTGGCCCGATACGAGGATCAACACAAGGAACCAAGCAAGACGCGATGAGAAAAAAAGTCTGGAACCAGGGACAGGTCCGGGGATACCCGACCCATGAAGTAAAAAGTAGCAAAAGTAAAAAGTAAAAAAGTACTCCGTACTCCGTCCCAGCGCGGCTTCTCGCATTTTCTTCCATGGCCGAGGATGAAACCCGGAGCCACTTTCTGACTCGCTTGCCGGCTTCCGACTGGCGTTGGTCGCCCCACGTGGGCCTGGCAGGAGGATTACTATTATTCTATATTATTCTGGTCTTATTTTGCATAAGCCCACACACTAGACAAGGTCAACGAACAAAGAAAATAAATGAGAAAAAGTCAAAAAGGCAAAAAGTACGAAACGACGTGAACCCTGACCCTTTGCCAAGACAGCTACTGAGATAGCCTCTTTTTCTCAGGCAGCGAGTGATTCTGATGCCGAGAAATCGAAACCATCACCGCTTGTAGTTGTCTGATGCCCTCAACATAGCTCACGATGGTCCAGTAGCCCCAACCGAGGCCCCAGCCAGCAGCAGTAGTCACTATCAACCGGCCGATAGGGATTTTCATGCCAATAACAAGCTTCGGTGGCGTTTCTAGGGTTTTCCTCTAGCGCTAGAACCATTGGGACCATCGCATGGAGGTCGCATTCTGAGCCGTCTCCAAGGGGGACTATTGCCCTCTTATAAAGCTTGGTTGAGACTAGAGAGACGCCGTTCGCTGCGGAGGTTCAGATGGACAGCTAAATGAGCCAAGCTCGCACCCAAAACCTTCCAGGTGGAGATGGGACCCCCCAGTCGTCACGGAAGATGATAACTCCTTTCGGCACATGCCCGAACCCGCCCCGGTAATTGCACTGAGTCGTTTCCGTAAAATCCGTCGAATCCACGGTACCCTCGATCGACACTTGACGCGACGTTCCTAATTGGACTTAGAGCGGGTGAGGGCTCCTGGCCACGCTGCCTGCTAGGACCAACCCCAGGGGGTGGAAGGACACAGCGGTTATATAGGTCAAATGCCGTCGGTGGAAAGGAAGCCTGAAACAATTCCACCCCCGGTCACCTCTCCCCATCATGCTGTCCCTGGCGATCCAGTCCTTGCTGTACGAGGCAGACGCCCATGCGGCCAACCCGGCCCTGCAGCGTCGCTCGTCCTCGTCGAGCACCCAGGGCGAGGCTGTTATGAGCCCACTGCCGAGTTTGCAGACCAAGGGCTTGATCGTTATCTCGGCGCTGGCCACCGTCTCACTCATTTGTACTCTTTCCTTGTTGACTTTCTTTACCTATCGTTTTATTTTCTGGAAACGCCACTACAAACGTTACATCGGTTACAACCAATATGTCGTGCTCATGTTCAACCTCATTCTGGCTGACTTTATCCAAAGTCTGGGCTTCATCATCAGTCTGCGATGGATCCAGACCAACTCGGTGACGGCCGCAGACCCT